CTTTACACGCAGCACTACTGCGGATGCGTCACGCATGCGCAAGCCGCAAGCCGTGCTGGGGTAATTTCAGACCGTGACACCGGCATTACGTAATTTAGTTTGGCAAATAAACTGAGCTAGTGGGGCAGTAACACTAGTAGCCGTATCAGATCAAGGGGCTACAACACAAGTAGAGATGCTAGCCACGTAACTCTCCTTCAATCCACAATAAGTTTTAGCTTCTTTGTCTCCGTCATTCCGTATTGTAATTATCTCCCTTCCTCTTTAGTTGGTGACTTGAGGCTTTTTTCACTGCGATCCGCAGGGTTGATTCTTCTATTCGTTCTGTCTCTTTTCGTCTTTGATATAGTCTCCCGAACCTTGCGAAGACTAATATTTATGACGTTACATAGTCGTGTGATTTTTAGTCGGCACTATGACTCTCCCTGGGGTAACAGTGCAACCGGTGGCAGCGTAGACACGTCAGAGTGGCTACTCAACCATGTTACGCTTGCTCAGCCCATCTTGGCGTGCAGACTAGATGAATAGTTTACACGCACGCGCCACCTGCCGTGCTTCTGTTACGCTGCGATTGGGGTTACGATTTTGTTAGTGTTAGAGTTAGGGTAAGGCACCATGGGTAAGTGTTAGAGTTAGGGTTAGGGTTAGGGTTAGGGTAAGGGTTAGCGATAGAGTAAGGGTAAGTGGTAGAGCTTCTGTTATGCTGTGATTAGGGTTACGATTTTGTTAGTGTTAGAGTTAGGTTAAGTGTTAGAGTTAGGGAAAGGGTAAGTGTTAGTGTTAGAGTTAGGTTAAGTGTTAGAGTTAGGGGAAGGGTAAGTGTTAGAGTTAGGGTAAGGATTAGTGATATAGTAAGGGTTAGAGCTTCTGTTATGCTGTGATTAGGGTTACAATTCAGCTGGGGTTACCTAACAGTTTTGGGGAACCTATTCAGATTCCCTACTCCCAGTTATTCCAAGGTGTGGGAGACCTCAAGAAAGGGAGACTCGGAGATAAAGGAGATTCCAAAGTAGGGGAGACTCCAAAAAAGAGAGACATTGAGAGAGAGAGAGAGATCTGTATTTACATCCCATAGCAGGGCTCCCTCTGCATATTTTAAAGTTTGAGTTAAGACTTGAGCCACCGAAGTTATTTTTCAGCCACCAATAAAAAACTATAGCCACTGTTCACTTTATCGTATGTGCTAAGCAAGGCATAAACAGGTGATGGGTAAGAGAAAAGAGATGTACGAAAACATTTTATGACACGACACTGCAATTTGACGATTTCGTTAGTCAATCTTAATTTTCTGAGCGGGAAAACCATTCGCCAATTGTATTCGTCACTTAGTATAGTACATTCGCCACTTTTATTTATTCATCGCATTTTGCGAAGGTGGCGAATGCCAGCAGTAGCCCTAATATAGTTCGATTCGAAGATTTCTCTGTGAGGTGCAAGAGCTTCTATTCCACACGCCACACATCACCCACGCGTATTGCTAAATCTGGTGACGTCACCATTGCCTTTTTTAATTGGTGCGTTTGTAGCCATGGCCCCATCTTTGTAGCATACCTTGTTACGTCCGGGGCAGTGACATGCAGTGTTGCAGTGCGTCAATGATGATATTTATTTCGACATCTTTTTCCCAGCAGGAGAGCGAGGAGGAGTTAGCTAGAGCTCGAAACGAGGCAGAACTGAGCACCCGCGATCTGTCTGATGGAGCCTTCTCGTTCAGAAATGCCACGCCCTGGAGGAGAGAAGTCCTACGTGTGTGATGTGTGTGGATACGCTGGCTCCAAGCTAGGTCATCTCAAGAAACATATGCGCACTCACACAGCAGAGAGGCCGTATGCGTGCGATATATGTGAATACAGGTGTAGGAGCTCCGGTCATCTCAAGATACACATGCGTACTCACACGGGAGAGAAGCCGTATTCATGCGATATATGTGAATACAGGTGTAAGAGCTCCGGTCATCTCAAGATACACATGCGCACTCACACGGGAGAGAAACCGTTTGCATGTGAAAGATGTGAATACAGGGATAGGACCTCCAGTGCTCTCAAGATACACATGCGCACTCACACGGGAGAGAAACCGTTTGCATGTGAGGGATGTGAATATAAGTGTTCTACGTCCGGTACGCTTAAGTCACACATGCGCACTCACACGGGAGAGAAACCGTTTGCGTGCGATATATGTGAATACATGTGTAGGAACTCCGCTGATCTCAAGCGACACATGCGCACTCACACCGGATAGAAACCATTTGCGTGTGACACGTGAGAATACAGGTGTAATGTAACGACTGGTGCGACTGGTGTGACGTTACACAGTCGAGAATGTGGAGAGGACGGAGATAGGTATAACGGACGGGCGTGATGTTAGACGGGAGAGAGAGAGAGAGAGAGAGAGAGGTGAGAGGAGATCGTTCTGAGGATCGTGAGGCGTAAGACAATAATCAAAGGCGAACTCTATATGATGGATCTTTATTCCGACTCCACACGGATAACAGTAAACGCGGAGCAGGCTCTCACAGGCGTGTGACGGATCATGCCTAGATTTTTCTGCCCGGACATGAGCATGCGAACCCTATTTATTCTTGTGCAAGCGCTTTCCGCCAATTATACCGATATTTCCTTCTCTTACGACCGGTTGGGCCCGTAAAAGCCTTTTTAGCTGCGACTAATTCCGTTATGTTGTTACAACTTCTAGCTTAGTTATGCAGCCAGCCTTTGGCGACACCGCGTCCGGTGTGTTGCCGCTGGCCAAGGTATTTGGAGCGTCTATTCCTACGTATAACTACTCCTACAGCTACGTTTTAATTAGCTTATAATGGAGTAGAATTTCTGGCATAATATTGCTCGCTACATGATGATAAAATTATAAATAACAAAATCAAAATACGAAATATTAATTTCATGATTAGTAATTTTGTTGGTATAATAACAAGACGATTTATTGTTCAATGTATTTAATCCGAATTTTTGTTAAATAACGTTTTTTGTAAAATAAATAAGAATTTGTGTACTTGAAATCCTAATCTTAATTGTTGTATTTGTCAGCTGTGCTGGTTCTCGTTAGTTCACATACTTTCGCGGTCGGGATCAAACATTCATGTGCGGACAACACATTCCATTCAAGCAAGATGATAGAGTTGTACATAGAATGCTGATAACACAGGAGCATGCGACACACGGAGTTACGATCATCAACGGTAAACAAACCGCGAACAAATGATGTAGACAGCTTTGGCGAGAAGTCGTGCGCGCATTCAGACAAAGACAACGACGTGTTACATTTATAATAAGTTACATTATATATGTGCAGTCGTGGTTGGGATGCGCAGGCAGTTCGGCGTTCATACTTACATGTATCACACACCGGCATATACGTCACACTACGCGTAGCTGCTATCTTACACTTACAAATATTTATCTTAATTTTTACCTCCGCCCAACGGAGTTGGAGGAGGTTATGTGATCGCTCTTGTGCGTTAGTGTGTTCGTGTGTTCGTGTGTTTGCGCGATTGATATTAGCGCGTCAGCCAGCGAGCCAGCGAGCATGTACATGTGAGCGAGCAGCAGCAGCAACGAGCGGCTGCTATGGCGTATGTCTCTGGCGGAGGTATGCACTCTCCGTGAATGCCCTCTGTCTAGTTGCACATGTCACGCACCGCGTAGCTGTTATATATACGGACGTGTGAGTTGCATTTGCGGAATGAACCAGCTCCTGCTTACCACTAGAGGGCGCATTCTCTGTCTCCCTGCCCCCTCTCTCCTTTCTCTAGCCCCTCTTTCTGTGCCCCTGTCTCTTCCCTTTCTCTGTCCCACTCTTTCTCTCTCTGTCCCCTCTCTCTGTTCCCCTCCCTCTTTCTCTCTCTGCCTCTCGCTCTTTCTCTCTCTCTCTCTCTCTCTCTCTCTCTCATCTCTCTCTCTCCCCTCTCTCTCTCTCTCACTCACTCCTCTGGCCCCCATCTCTCTATCCTCTCTCTCTTCGCGCTCTCTCTCTTCCTCTGCTCCGTTCGCTGCTCTTACTCTCTGCCCTCTCTTTCTGCTCTCTGCCCATCTCTTCTTTTCTCTCTCTTTACCCCTCTCTTCCCTCTTCTGTCTCACTCTCTCTTCCTCACGCTGTCCCTCCTCTCTTCCTCTCTCTGTCCCCCTCTCTCTTTCTCTCTCTCTGTTCCCTCCATCTTTCTCTCTCTGCCTCCTCTCTTTCTCTCTGTCCCCCTCTCTCTTGCTCTCTCTCTGTTCCCTCCATCTTTCTCTCTGTGCCTCCTCTCTTACTCTCTGTCCCTCCTCTCTTCCTCTTTCTGTCTCCCTCTCTCTTCCTCTCCCTGTCCCTCCTCTCTTCCTCTCTCTTCCTCTCTCTGTCCCCCTCTCTCTTCCTCTCTCTGTCCCCCCTCTCGTCTCTCTCTCTACCCAGGGTGTATACAGGATTTTTTCTGGGTGGGATCGTGCTGTGTAACTTCATAATGCTTTTATTTGGACCTTTTCACAATAGAATAAGCCGCAAGATGTGTACAATGATCAATACAATCAGGGGCGTGTCAAGATTTGTACCAGGGGGGGGAGGGGTCTAAACCGACTAACTGCAAAAACTTGGGAAGGACGTGAAGGGGGCGGTCTGGGCGAAATTTTTGAAATTAGACCTCCTTCAGATGCCGTTTTCTGCGGCGAGCAGGGGGGGGGGGTTCGGAGCCGCCCTGGACCCACCTGTACACGCCCCTAACATTTAATTAAATAAAAAAACTTTGTTTCAATAAAAAAATTTATCAGTTTAAAAAAAAATCAGTTTTTCTGCTCAGTTGAAACAGTAGTGTTTTTGAACTTTTTGTCTTTATCTTGTCTTTGCTTGATCTTGTCTTGTCTGTCAAGTCAGTCTTGCTCTCTCTTTCTGAAACACAACATTTTTTAAAACAACAAGGCTCAGTTATCAGAATTGCTGTGGAATTGGGATAGATTTTACGTCACGCATTGTGCAATGTCTTTAGTACTGATTGCTGGCCACCTGAATATTTGTTCGCTGGGTTATGATCATTTGCTAAAAAGGCCATGGAAAAAAAATGTCTTTGGAAAAAATGAGGACCTTTTAAATTTTTATGCTTGGCGGGGATCGTAATACGCGCGTCCGTCGTGAGATACGCGCCCCCCCTGATCAGCACCATGCTACCCTTTCTATCCTTCTCTCTGTCCTCGCTTCTTCCTCTCTTCTGTCCCCCTCTCTTTTCCTCTCTCTGTCCCCCTCTCTCTTCCTCTCTCTGCCCGGACTAATCCAGGTGTGACCAAGACGCTGCATCGCAACCAGTGTTCAGGTACGCCGGGAAACTGGTCTCGGACTTGCATTGAGTGCTGCATTATTAAGGGTCCGGTGGGCGTTGTCAGGTGGCAACGCTGCGACCCTAGGCGCTTAGGGTCAGTGACCAGTCTTCAGAATGTTGACCAGATAGTTGATCTGCTCGACTTACTAGGTCAGTGGGCAGTTTTGGTGGGCACGGCTTGGTCATTGCGTTGTCTTTTTGGATCTCCCCTTACACGGTTGCAATAATTGACATCACCAACGATGGCACACCTCCGTATGGTGAGATGCGCTTATTGGATTGGTGGCGACGTGAGGGACTCTTTATTTATACTCCGTGACAGAGTGTAAGCGTCCTTCTGGTGACAGGGTGAATCTACCCGATCCTAATGACTCTGATTGTAGGACGCCAGCAAGGGGGCGCAGTTCGGGATACTCACTCATAGGATAATGGTTCGCGCAAGACAGAACCCGGAAATGCGGGGATGCATTCTAACCTACACCACTTCCCCAAATCTGTCCTCAAGCAAGAGACGTACCCACATGGGGTCCGACAAGTTGATAGCGCAAGGGTGCGTTCCGACTGTCAGAGTGCCGTGATGTCCTTGTTTGGTATGTTCGACTCTGCTCTCACCCCTCGCATAGGTATGGGCGTGCCCGTGACATTGGGCTGTTTGAGAAGTTGGTCTAGTGATCTGCTCGCAGTGTGATCTGACATACGTTGTATCTGCTGTGAGCGGTTAGTCGCACTGCTGCGGTTGACGGTTCGATACAGTCTGAAAGTCTTATTGTGATTTCTGCCCTAATTACGCAGGTTAGTTATAGGTCTGATTGTGTCGCGGATTGTCGTGCGTACCTCGGCCTACTCCCATTCAGCATTCTCGGATCCATATTGTAGTAGTCGGTCGCCGTGTGACGCTGCCTAGTCCCGTGCGCTGGACCCGTTTAGAGCGTAAGCCTCGTGTGCGCGGCCATTCTTGATCAAGATTTTACACAGGGTCGTTCCGATATATCGAACCCGTACCCAGGGTACGCGCTAATATTATAGTGAGACCCAGCTGTTATTGGCCCAGATGTTAGCCAGTGCCAATAGATGAAATTGGTCAGGGCATGACTAATATTGCAGCGGCCCTTGCTCAGTCATTGAGCGGTTTGATCCAATACGTGTAAGGAAATTAAGGATATGAGTGTAATCCTGGAGAAAATATGGGGGGAGATGTAACATCATAGATGGTGACATGTAGAATTGTTTGATGTTAAATTTGGGATTGTTTGGTGCTGCCCTCGAGTGGCCTAAAGAAGACAGAGAGACTAGACGAGTGGTAGTCGGTGGCAAACAGATGGCAGCACTAGGCCGCCATGCTGGAACAGATTGTGGGGAGAGTAAGGCTACATCCATTAGTCTGTGTCGATATTTGGTCTGTGGTAAGGCATTCTATTTAATTCTGCTGCATAGAAATAAAATAGATCCTATCGGTCAACATCCACACATGCGTCTAAACAGAGGAATTGCTCCGACCTCCGGGCCGAACACCTGTGTTGGAGGATAAAAATAGACCCCGCCCACTCGTGACGTTTCGTGACGATTCGTGACGTTTCATTTCGCCGGTCATAGCCGCGCGTGCATATTTGCTAATTAATGTAACTCAAATCGCGCTTCAAATAGACGTCACAGAGATTAAGGGCCTAAGACATGTGGCTATAATAGCATAGAATGTTCTAGAAATGTAACTCAAATCGTTTGCTCTCCAATATGATAGTTGACTGTTTTCGGGAAGTGAGGCTGCGGGTCTATATTTATCCTCAACCAGGTGTAGGAATTCCTCTGTTTACGACGCATGACTGTTTGACATAATAGAGCCGCCATGCTATCACTCCAACGACAGACGCCGGCTACTACGTGGCGCTAGTAGTTCAATTCCAAAATGGAAAAAGCCCAAGTGACGCGTGCTCGGTGATTTAGGAACCCCATATCCTCTGAAAGAGGTGAATACAGCCTATTACAGGCGTAACTGCAGCCGTACAATGAATCAATCAATCACAATCAATCAAGCACACCAGCAATCAAGAATCGCACGCGCCACTCGGACGGTAGGGAAGCCGAAGCCGTATCTTATATTATACTATCTATGGTATCCTAAACACTATCTTATGGTGTATATAGAATAGCCACTGGACGTCAATAGGACCTACTGACGTACACTGACGTCACGCAGGATACCTTTGCGTTCTGCGAAACATATGCCCACCCATAGATATCGTATTTATCAAGACTACGTTAATGATTTTATAAGATAGATAACGTTGTCGTATAGGATATCTATGTGCCACCAAGGTGTGATGTTGGCAATTGTTTGGTGGCTGCCATCGCAGTGGCTAAAGAGTGAGAAGCTTAGACGAGGGTAGTCGCGAACAGATGGCCAGCACTTTAGGCCGCCATGCTGCCGAGCCTGGAACAGATTGTTGGGAGAGGTCAAGTCGTTACTGCCTCATAAAAATGAAATAGAATCTAATCGGTCAAAACATCCACCAGCGTGCAGAGGATTATGCGCTGTAAGTAATTGTAGAATTAAGTGGCATACGATAAGGATAAAGATATTTCTAATATCTTGAATACATATCCAAGAGTAGATAATAACCAATGTCTATTATCTACTCTTGAATACATATGCAGGCCCGGTAGTAAGCTCCAAGAAACCGGTATTGCTTAGGGGTTAGAATACCCTATTTAATACCCCTAGAATACCTCCGTTAAGAATACCCTACTCCCCGTTCATTGACGTTATGTCACACAGCCTGCTTCGGTTAGGCCGTAGCTAGCTCTAGTACTATAGCCCCTGCATCACTTGCCAGCGGAATCGCTGCCGCAGGCAGCAGGCACTGTGAAACGTTTCAATAAAATATAATGCTAAATAAATACGCAGTGGCTACTGGGTACGACTAACGACCGGGCACCAGGCTTAGTGTGACTAACATCATACACCGCCCACGCTGACATTCCATCCATTGAAAAATCTTGTAGCCTGCCTACAAAAACTACCGAAACATTACGTCATATCTCAAATAAAATGATCATTCTAACGCATTTTGCCTTGGTTTCGTATCAATATAACTTCACCTTATAGTATATCCAGCGTGTTATTTAAACTAATACCTCAGTTTGGCTGATGCACAGTGTGAATTTCAGGAGCCAAACCGAAATGTTCAACTAGCGCCACCGCCATGGTTTGAATGGCATTGATTTTCCCGAACCGGCGACGCGGAAACACCCGAAACGACAGTAACATCGAATAGCGTTGCACTTTGCGTTGGACCGGAGCTCATAAAAAGCATCATATACTCGTATTATTATATAAAAATATTAAAACATTGAAAAAACCAGGAGACGCTCATCACAACAACTTAATAAATTATTATTTGTGAAGCATATCGTACTTGGTTGTTTTGGCTCCATACGCACTGTGAAATCAGGGTCCATTGCCGTGTTAGTTGCACTGAACATGGCAAGACATGGCGGTCTTTTCTGCGTTTGTTCTTGATCCAATTCCATCTGGCTTAGAAAAGGACGGTAAACTCAATAAATAAGTAGCCGCTCGTAGCGGTTCGCCGTAGTCTGGGCGGCTCCCCCCCCCCCCCCCGAGAGTCGACTCCAGAGTGTGGTTAGAGACTCTTGCATGTATGTGATTTGGTCCATATATCATGAGTTTATTTGCCGGATTAGCTTACTATTTAGAATGGTGTCGGCAGGTGTTTGTTGCGTGGTGACTGATTTTCCGCAATGGGCTCATGGATCTCGCATATTACACTGGAGCGAAAGTATAGCTGGGGTTGGCAAGAGTCTAAACGGTATTTTAACGCTAGCAATACCGTTTCTGGAGCTACGGGTTACGTCCAGCCGCGTGCGTGTGCGGTCGTTGATGCCCTCTTGTGTGTTGTTGGCGCTTTAGGGTTAGGGTTAGGGTTAGGATTATGGGTTAGGGCTTAGGATTTTAGGGTTATGTTAGGGTATAGGTTTAAGGGTTAGGGTTAGAGTTCTCAGCCTCATCTAAACTCTCAAATCAGGAATTTATTTATTCCACAAGGCTTATTTCGAATCTAGCCGCCACCGCCCCATCTTTGCTCTCGGTTAAGTATGAAAGCGAAATGGTACTGCGTACCCCGTAGCCTGCGAGACATTATAAGATAGGGCCTGGCGGCTTGTACCGTAGCCACTGCCAATAAATTACGAAATATAATAATAGTACTACAAAATTCTTAATTGACAATATGTTTCTATTCACCTATTATTGCGACAGCTTTTCCTGCTCAATTCCGTGTAAATGTCTCTATGCCACAACACATTTTGAATCGCCCGCCTAGTGATTCCTTCACACTGATAGTAAGTCGTGTGGCTTAAGTTGACTATATATGTGCAGATTAGGCGAAAGTGGTGCCGAGCTCCAATCGCTCAACACTTCCGGTGAATCTTCACAGTGATTTACAGGCCCAACAAAACACAACCATTCTACTCCATCTTTGTTTCATTTCAACAACGCATGCATCACTGTTTAGAAATTAGAACTGTCTCTGTTCTTTAACCGAACTCTTGTCACGCGATGTCGCAATACACTGGCGAATTTGAGCGTTCTGCTAACGTTGCGCGGTCACTGTAAATGTCTGCCGGAGATCAGGAACACCTAGCGGCGCCTATTGGTCATGTCGGTGCCGCGCAATGCTGGCAATGTCTTTTGCCAAGCTCCCAATGGCGAGGCTTGTTACGGGAGGTTGAATAGCAGCGTGGTTGTATCCCAAAATGACAATGCGCCGCCTTTAGCCATGCTTACTTGCACATTTCCATTGACTGCGCGAACTGGTAGCAAACTCTCGCAATATTCGCAGTGTTATTGCGGTAATATCGCGTCGACAGATGTTCAGGTAAGAACCAGAGACAGTCTAGTACTTTCTAACAGTGATCAGCTGTTGTTGAAATTGAAACAACAGATCGGAGTGGAATGGTTTGTGTTTTTTTGTGCTAGTAATCACTGTGCAAACTTCAGCCGAGTGTCGAGCGGATGGAGTCGAGCGTTTGCTTCTCCGTACCTGCTGCCTGTTGATTGCATAGTGGCATTTTGTATTCTGATCAATACAAATCTGTGCACAGTCTTGGGTGGGCCCGACTTTTGAGTGGCTACTCCATGGCCACCCCCCTGTTTACCACGCCCCTAGCTCGTGGCGCGACAGCCCGACCAGGTCGAGGTTTGGGCGTGCCCAATGTGTGGGTTTATGTTGAATTTCTTGACTTAACCGGGCGGACAGAGCCGGGGGGAGTGGTGTGCGAGGGGGGTGATTTACTGTTACCTCCGCAGCTAATGGAAGACTTATTTGCAATTAATTACACGTAAAATGGAGCGACCTGAAATGAATCTCTTGCAAATTAAAAAAAAAAAATTTTTTGGGCTTGGGGGGGGGGGGGGGTTGCGTTCGGGCAACGGCCTTGGCTCGGTCCTTTGCATTGCCAGGTAGAGATGCATAGCCAGTAACTCTCGCCTTCCAATCCGCAGTACGTGGCCGCACATCATAGATATAGCATTATAGAGTCGTTTGTTCTATATCTATAAGAAATATATATAATCTATAAGATCTATAGATCTATGAGAATCTATATCTATAAGAAATATGTTTATTCTATATCTATGCGCACATCGAGCGTCATCGTTACTTTCACATGCGTCTAAACAGAGAAATTCGCCCTCTTGGCGCGAGTGGGACCTTGATTCTCTGGTAGGTTTGATGTTAAATAGTAAGCTCATAGCTTCTTCTGTGGGATTGCGATCTGTCTGTTACTAGCTTGGCCGGGGCTTGCATTACTGTCGGCAGCGTTCAAGGATAGCGATGATGTTTTTACTGGTACTGAATGTATGACTTTCGTTCGGATCTTTGAGCCTGTCGGGCGGCCTTGCGACGCGACGACGGGATTGCTTGCGACTGATTTTTCTGCAGTTTATCTGCAACTTGGTTGCAAGTCGCAGGCGACGATCGCGTCGCAGAGAAAGTTTGATCTAACCACCCCTAGCTGCGACTGCTAGCGACTGCTTGCGACTGGAAAGTAGTTTGGATCAGACGATTTAACGGTTGCTGACAACGTTGCGGCGTGCGTGGAGCTCGGCATGGTTAGCAGCTTGTGATTTTGAACAGTGTAAACCGCTGTTCTGGATCTCCTTGCGCCGTGCGGCAGCTTAGTGCGCAGTGATGCGCGACTGTTCATGTGATCTCAACCCATTTGCGATCCGGTAGGAGCATCCTGTATTTCATGGTTTACTACCCGGACATAAGCTGTCCTTGCCGATCGCTGCGACGCGTTCCCGCATTGAAATGAACAATGCATAAAAGCGAACAATGCGAATCAAAGAATCAGTGCATGCCAGTGGCGTAGTTGGGGGGGGAGGGGATTGGGTGCAAAGGGGGCCATGGCCCCCCTGTTGATCCGAAAGTTAAAAATGAATTGTTTATAAGAAGTGGCGTGCGAATTTGTCGGTAGTGGTCAGCTGGGCATGTGCGATTTACATTGATGATTTCCACATACCAAAGGTTCCTTCGCTCAATATAGCCATTCGGCTCGTGCTGGCGGTGGTCTTAACATTTTCAAAATGTTTGGAGGGGAGGATTCCCCCCACCCCACCTGATTTTAACGCTCCGTCCTTTTATATATTGCTGTGGCTATATGCCCGGCAGCCGGGCACGGTCTTCGATTTCCTAAATGCCCGGCAGTTCCTAACCCTAACCCTAACCCTAACCCTTCTTTACTTGAGATAACGCTGAAAATTAAGAACTGCCGGGCATTTAGGAAATCAAAGACCGTGCCCGGCAGCCGTCAGAAGCGGAATAACTTTAGCTCGGGATAAGTCGTTTTATACAACGCACGACTTTAGCCCGCTTCTGAAGGGGGATAACTTTACTTTGAGATAAGTCGTTTTATACTGACGTTAGCTCAGGTCTGAAGCGGACCTGAACCACCTCCTAGAGCGGAATAACTTTAGCTCGGGCCAAGTATTTATCGACCTTTTATACTGGGGGTTATCCCGCTTTGAACAGGTCCGGACCTGAAGCGGGATAACCCCCAGTATAAATGGGGTAAACATTTCACTGAATTTAGAGCGAGCTAAAGTCGAGATACCTTTTATACTGACGTTAGCTCGGGTCTGAAGCGGACCTGAACCACCTCCTAGAGCGGAATAACTTTAGCTCGGGCTAAGTATGTTTCGACCTTTTATACTGGGGGTTATCCCGCTTCAGGTCCGGACCTGAAGCGGGTTAACCCCCAGTATAAAAGGGGTATTAGTGTCGATTAGTTATTAGTTCGCTCATTGATCCGAAGGTAGGAGAATTGGGCTAGCTCGAATATACAGCTCTAACAAAAATCGCTTGACATTTCTAAACAAATGTAGAATACTTTGGACCACGTTACTGTTTACTGTACACTGTTTACTTGAGAA